TTCCTTCCTTCCTTCCTTCTTTCCTTCTTTCTTTCTTTCTTTCTTCTCTCTCTCTCTTTCTCTCTCTCTTTCTTTCTTTCTTTCTCCTTCCTTCCTTCCTTCCTTCCTTCTCCTCCTCTCCCCTCCCTTCTAGCACTGATGATGTTCCCTAGTTGGGTCATGAAAGGTCTGGAAGAAGACAACCAAGCTCAGAGAGAGCACCCAGGACCCCACAGTCCTCCTCTTCTTCCTCCTCCCCCTTCTTAGCGCTGATGATGTTCCCTAGTTGGGTCATGAGACGTCCGCAAGACAACCCCCAAACTCAAGGGAGCCCCCCGTTCAACCCCCAAGCTCCAAAAAAAATTGTCCTCTTATATTGGCCCCAAAGCAAAGTTCAACTCTCAAGGTCAGCCGTGACCTTCACCGGAGATCCAACCTCAGTTTCCCTCTTTGCTGCCGCCGCCGCGGTTGTGCCAAGTCAAACAAGACCAGGCAGCCGTCGCGCCTTTGATCCTGGCTCCAGTGGGACAAGATTCCCAGGAGGAGGAGGGGGGGGGCGGTGCTACAGCAAGATAGCCCCTCCCACATTTCTGTCACGGAAGGCAGGTGAGGGAAGCTCCTTGAACGCTAAGCGGCCCAGGGGGTGTGTCCCCCCCCCTCAACCCCACACGCCCTTCCTGCATCCCCCCCCCCCCAACAGAAATGCCAGACGGAGGGTTTTACCCCAAAGGCTGAAGACTCTCTTTTTTGGGGGGGGCGAGAGAGAAAGGCAGGAATTCCCAGAAAGGAGGAGGAGCCACGACGACAGGTAAGTGGCCCCCCTTTCCGTGGCCACAAGAAATAGCGGCCTCTACGTGCGGCAACACCCCCGCGACCCCCAGCCCACCCCCGCCGGCAGAAATCCAGGTAGCCCTCGAGTTATGACCGCCAACGGAGCCCCAGCTTCCCGTCGCTCAGCGAAACCTTGGGTTTGAAGTGAGTTTTCCTCCCTTTTTACAGATATGCTTGCCTGCAGTCGCTCACTGCAAGCGGTTAAAAGTTAGAGCCACGCGGTTCTTAAGTGAATCCGGGTTCCCTGGCTGGTCAGGTCGCGATAGGGGGGAATCACGTGACCGCTGCCCCCTCCCTTCTCCCTCCTCCGACAGGACGCCGCGGCCGTCGTAAATGCAAGCCGGTTGCCAAGCGCCTGAAATTCGGATCACGTGACCGTGGAAAGGATGAAAAACGGTCATAAGTCATGGGGTTTTTTTTGCCATTCAACGAACGGTTGGAAGTCGAGGACTACCTGTTAACAGCGCAGGTGGATTTGACAGGGAAAGGGAAGGGGGCTCCCCTTTGACACCCTCCGCCCCCCATCTCCACCCATCACCGCCCAGGGGGGTCTCAAACCTTGGCCCCTTTTAAGCCTGGTGGACTTCAACGCCCAGAATTCCCCAGCGGGCTTTGCTTAGTCTCTTGTCATCCCTTCCTCTGCAATCTCTGTTGTTTTTTTATTTTATTTATTTTAGTTCTCTTGTCAATTCTGGGAGTTGGAAGTCCACAAAGCTTTGCTGGCTGGGGGATTCTGGGAATTGAAGTCCTCCAGGCTTTAAAAAGGGCCCAAGGCTGGAGACCTCTACCACCCTGCAAGTTTAGCCAAAGACTTACCCAGCCTCCGTTGTCTTGAATCCAGGGGTCCAGGTGCTCCGTCAGGTACGTGGCCATCCAGGTGGCGATCCTTCCCACCAGGCCCCGCATTTCCTTGTCGACGCTCTCCACGCACAGGGCCCCTCCGAAGGAGAAAAAGGCCACAATCCGCCCCCAGTTCACCCCGTCCCGGAAAAGTTCGTTCACCACCTGCTCGAAGCTCTGGTAAGCCGTGCCCAGGGTGATGTGGAGCTGCGAGGTCAGGTCGCTAAAGGCCCGCCGGTAGCGCAGTTCGAACTCGTCCCCGGCTTCCCGCAGCGTCTGCCTCACCGCCTCCTGGGGGCCGTCGCTCAGCTCTTCCAGCAGAGCCGGGTGGATGCTGGCTGCCCCGTTGACCACCGGGCTGGGGCTGGGGTGCCAGGAGGGGCTCCCGCCGTTCAGGACACCGCTGCCGCCGCCGCCGCCGCCCATCTCGCCGGACAGCTCCGTCCGCTCCTCGCCGTCCCCCTCAATCTCGCGCCAGCTGTGGCCCCGCTGCGCCAGCTTGTAGGCAATGAAGTCCACCACCAGGGACCGGTTGCCGCTCGACATTTTCACACCTCTGCCCGTCTCAGTGAGTCCATGGTCTGCAGCCCCAGCCGTCCTGCTTACCGTTGGAGGACGTGGCGCCCTTCCGCTTTGGGCATAGCCATCCCAGCGCCGGGCGCGGAAACTTCGCAGGGGCAGCGGAGGAGAGAAAGCAAAAGGGGGGAAGAAAGAAAGAAGAAAAAAAGAAAGAAAAAGGAAGAAAGAGGAAAGTGTTAAAAGGACCGGCTGCGGACTCGGTGCCCTCCGGGGCCAGTAGCAGTAATGGGCGGGTGGGGGGAGGACTTAGCTGGCCCCCCAGGAGGCTCATGCATTTGCAAGCAGCAATCCCTGCCTTCTCTCCCTCCTCTTTTCTCCCTCTCCCTCTTTTCTCCCTCTCCCTCTCCCTCTTTCTCTCTCCCTTTTCTCTCTCCCCTTTTCTTTCCCTCTCCCTCAATTTTCTCTCCCTCCC